CTTCATTTGATTAAAAGAAAGAGATTGAAGATGTTTCCTGAATAGAATTAGGTTTTCCATGCATATATCCTGTTTTTTAGTTTTCCAGTATTTAAGTTTACAGGTTTTAGTTATGGGTACTTTAAGGACCTGAGATGTATGATCTGACAGAGATAAATCTATTATTTGTGCAATACAGTCCCTCCCGTACGTGTGTGCAAAATTGTCAATACAGGTGTTACTGTTTAATCTAGTAGGGCTATCCAGAGTCAAGGTCAAATTAAATTGAGTCAGGAAGTTTTCAAATTCTATTGTAATTTTATTTCTTTTTAGAATGTCTATGTTAAAGTCTCCAGTCAAGATTATTTTTTTTTTCGAATATGTCATAGATTTTCTTAATATAGTTTCTAATTTTTCATAAAACACATTGTAATTATTTTTAGGTGTGCGATATATACAAATAATAATTATTTTGTGATGAATTAGTTCCACGGCGCAGCATTCAAAAACGCCCGAAACCGATTGTTTTGTTACATCATAAATCTCTCGAAATTGAATTCCGGATCTTATAAGAATGCAAGCGCCCCCGCGCTTGGCCTTTCGGCAAAAAAAAGCCGCTGGTATAAAATTAGGTATATGTAACAAATCTTCGTAACCGGCCTCAATAAAATGTTCTGTTATGCAGATAACATCAATATAGGTTCCCGCGTTATGAAGCTCATCTATCTTGACCGTTAAAATATCCGATTTGTTTATTAAACCCGCTATGTTTTGATGTAGTATGTTCAGATATTTATAGAAAAAACTGGGAACTATTTGGTGACTCTAAGCTTGTTGTTTCTGTTTGTTTATTTTGGAGACAGTCAACTATGGGGTTGTTTGTATTAATTGTTTCCAATGTACTATGGTATGAGATCATATTTATTAAGTCGGATATCATAATTTTTAAGCCTTTGCTATTAAGTGTTCCGTAATGCGGTCTATAAGTATCGTAAGTATAAGGTAGATTACGGTTAGAATCCAGTACGTACGCATAATGACATGTTTCTACATCTATACATAGTAAATTATTGAAGGTCTCAACACGACTGTTGAACATGATATTAATATTTTTCATATATTTAAAAGTGGGTAGACAAATTATAAAGTTAGTGTGATAAAGAGGTAGTAGTGTTTTACGAATCTGTTCAACAAGTTCTAGATAGTTTTGTGTTACTTTGAAATTTTCTTCACCGACAAAGATAATACAAAAATCTGATTTAGTAAAATTTTTGACTTTTTTGTCTATATTATCCAGTAATATTTCTAAGTTACAGTTCGGCTTACGAAAGTGGCATATTTCATGGGTGTTAAGTGAACCAGTGCTATCTATTATTTTACATATTCTACTACTGTTATCGCTGCTGAGGATACATATTTTTTGTTTGGAAGGTGCTTGCGGTAAGTTTGTTTTAAAATTATTGCTTGATACCGACGATACTCCACTTTTAGGTGACGACGTACGGGTTATCTTTAAGCTATCATTTGTGTTTTCTCGGCGGTCGGAACAGTTGTTTTTGATTCCGGTTTTTGTTTGTATTTGTTTGGTGTTTTTCGTTTGCATCTTGTTAGGTGTTGCTGGATTTTTAAATTTAGCCGGAGAAATAGCAATTTTTTTGTAAAGGTTGTTCTTTCGCGATAGTTCTTCATTATTCTGTTTCAGCCTGCTATTTTCCAACGTTAATACTTCAATTTCTTTATATCACATACCTACATTTGAATTAATAACCCGATTGAAATAAATTAAGAGGAGTACATTAATAAATACCCTGAAAAGCAACAGAAAACCGACATGAAATAACGCTTGCGTTGTTTCATCGTGTGAATGAAGTTACCAGAGGCCCAATTATCCCCTCGCCAATCTCCCTAATCCCCGAATCCCCAATGATCCTCAAATTCCTAATCTCCAAAAGGCCAGTAACGCACTTGTAATGCCTTGGTATTTCGGGTGTCCATGGGCGGCGCCGATTGCTTACCATCAGGTGAGATCGGTGTGCTCGTTTACCGGCTCATGCAATAAAAAAATAATAATAACATACCCAGTCACAGAGGTGTTAGACTCCATGAGTAAACTGATACTATTCTTGAGGGTATCACGGAGAGGGCGCAGTGGGTTTGAGCCGTGGAAGTTGAGTTCTTCACTGGTACTCAAGTGGACCGTGGATCCCAAACATGTTCTCAACATGTTATCGTTCAGTAGTGACGGTGACTCATCGATGTTGGAATTTGATGGTTTTGAGGAAGTGTCGCTTGTTTGTGACGGCTGCTCTTGTAGTTTCATGTCGTATACCTGAGTAGAATGAAACATGTTTTATAGTTCACTAGCGACCCGCCCCGGCTTCGCACGGGTGCAATATGCATGTATTATACATACAAACCTTCCTTAAGAATCACTCCATTTATTAAAAAAAACCGCATCAAAATCCGTTGCGTAGTTTTAAAGATCTAAGCATACATACGGACATACAGCGAAAGCGACTTTGTTTTATACTATGTATTGATGATACTTAGTTGTTCTCTCATCATTTTAAACTGCCTAACCTAGTATTCAAGAGTCAAGACATTCAACTTGAGTTAAAATTATTTTCTGCCTGTGGAAAAACCCGATTAAAGCAGCGGACATTGTTCAAAATGTTTTATTTACGGATGTTGTGTATGTGCTTTAAATAAAATAATTGATGTTCTGATGTATTGTAGTTTTATTTAATAAGTAACAATTAAATATGAATTTTTACTTTTTAATTATTTTACGGCAGTAATTAATTTCATCTATCCAAAATACAAAGAAAAAAATTGTTTCGACATAGAAACTAGGACCTATTTTCTTTTATCATGCAACGTGCAAATTGGTTATTTATTTCCACCACAAAGTAAATATGAAAACGTGTCGCGATTGGATTTTAATTAATTCATAAATAGCGGGGATATGAAAGCTCTCGATGTAATCCGGTTTAGCGACGGTTCGCTGATTGTTTTCAAAATTAATTCGATAAGCCACACGATGGATTAATTTATAAACTTTTTACGGATCGTTGCATAAATTAATCCAAGAGTGAATGCTGCAATCCTTTTTTAATATGCGTTGCTGAATCTAAAATTAACAGTGATTGTTTACGTAAATAATGTTGTATATATGTACTTCACAAGGAAATCTTATAGGTTTTTTACAATGATCGTAGTTGTCAACAACAAGGGCCGACCGACCAGAACCCGACCCGAAGGTAGTTTTTAGTCAGTAACACACTGCCTCTCGCCTCGCCCGGGCAGGAGAAATCATTGTATGATTTTTCACGCTCAAAAAAAGGTTAGGTTAGGAAAAAATCTTAGGATAATACTACTCAATTCATCATGTGCATGGTTAATGACTTAAAAATCGTCAATGGAATAAAAATTAAAATATTGTGCAGTCCATATTTTGTCTTAATGCGACACACCACTATTATATTTAGGTACTAAGCACATTAAGGTAGTACAAGATTTGTGACTTAAAATAGCAGAGTATGCTGGAAGTAATAATGCCACCATAGTTAGGATTAGTGAGTGCGGCTCACGCGAATCAAACAGTAATTGGATTTTTACAGGCGAGCCGGCAAGAAGGTAATATTTCTAAGTTTAGTTAAAGGAGGTCAAATGTCTGTAGCGTTACTGCGTAAAATATAAACTTCATAACTTGGGGTATTTTTCTTTAATACTTATTTTTTTTTAATACAATAAGATTTTGTTTAGCTAAAGCAGGTATTTTATAATTTTTTTTATAGATAATAATATAATTTAGTGTAACAATTATAGCTACTGTCTTCTACTTCATTTTCTAATAACTGTGCACAGTGTACATAGGTGCTATAGGTATATGTTTATATTATCTGTGGCAAGGTGGCCACTTTCAAGAGTGGAAATCTGTTTATGTTCTTTTATTTATGAAATATATGTAGTGTGCTTCTGACTAGTTTGTTTAATTCACATGTAAAATAATTAGTAGGATAATATGACGTTCAAAATATATAACATTAGGTAAAGAATATTCGTATATCTTAGAACTAACCTGTTCAGCCAAATGCGCGGCTTCTCCACTGAGTGACTTGAACTCTTTCTTGGAGATGTCGGAGGAGGTCGATGGAGGTTTGATTGTGGTGGAAGACTTCTGACTAGTCATTGGCTTTGGGTGCTTTTCTCTCTTGTAGTAATCACCTCCTTTGTACGGCTGTGGGTTACTGTTGCCTTTCTTCTTCTTGGTATCTATCACCTGCTAAGCAAGATATGATAAGGTATAAATGTAGAGAAACTGTGTTTATGTATTGTGACTCGAGTTCTTTTTAAAGGCTTTAATTAGAACTTCTATTATAAGTTTGCATGATTGTACAAATATATAGTAAAGGAATCTTAATGGCCGTTTTCACCAATCGCCCCTAAACCACCTCTTAACTAAAAGGTACTTAGTGTGAGGGAGCACCTACATTAACCCTTTATCTTTGGGTGGTACCACTTATAAGTTGATGGAAACCAAAATTTCGTTAAGGGTCTAACTCAGTTTAGGAGTTCCTTAAAATTTAAGTAAGGTTAGTGAATAAGTATTGTTCAGACATATTATTGTATGAAAGAGCTACAATACCAAAGATTTATAGTACACAGACAGGGCATCAGTAACATCAGTTATACCAGTACCCAATTATTACAAGTTTGACTTACCATAACCTGACTAGCTAATAAACATAAGTTTCGAAGATTTGGATCGTATAAATAATGTGAGTAATTAGGTAATTACTGGATTGTGTGCGGGTACCTCGGAACTCTCTGAGATGTTCTGTATACTCCGCGACGTGTAGCTCTTGCTCTCGTCCATCAAATCTTCCTTTTCAGAGCCGTAGTGGTAATACCTTTGTAAATACAATACATTTATTATTTACTAGCTTTTCGAAATCCAATCTTTGTGAATCATATCTTTAAGAATTAATATCCAATGGTGAAATGAACACGCTTTCAGTAGTTTTTGAGTTATAGACGCGGAGACGAAGTGATGGTTTCTTGCATAAGATTATATGATAATCGTGGTAGCCCGGAGGTTTAAGATACCCGCTTCTCATGCATGAGGGTGCGGTTCCGAAACCTACTAACGGCAAGTGCCAATGTGACTTTTTCCGAGTTATATGTACTTTCTAAGATTATCAAGACACCATTGACAAACGGTGAAGGAAGGAAATCGCCAACCCGCATTGAGCAAACGTGGTGATTAATGCTCAAACCTCCGTGCGAGAAGAGGCTTTGCTCAGCAGTGGGCATTTAGACGCTGTTGATGATGATGAATGATTATTTTATTCATCAATGATGATTTTGAAGTTCATACTTTGGAATCTATAATGTAAATGTAACATTTTATAAGTATTTTTTGGTGCGTTCTAGGTATGTAATGTAATTAAATAGTATGACAATAGATGTAAAAAAATGAGTTAAAAAAAGTCAACTTACCTAATCAATGCTCTTGAAGCATACACAGTAGGATGCAGGGCTAATGAGGGGTTCAAATAGACTCGGTTTAGGTTGACCCCCCTGGTGTCAGTTCGGTAGTGACCCCGAGCGACCCCGTCAGGGTTGAGGAAAGGGACCATTTTAAAGACGTAGATCTTCCGCAACTGAATCGCTATGGGGTCGTTCCTTGTGAGTAAAAGGTTCAGGAATCCGTTGAATACAAAGCTTGAAGGAGTTTCTCCAGGATGTACTCGAGCTGATATGAATATCACCTGTGTCAAGATTTTTTTGTTAATTCATGCATTGAGTAAATAGTTGATTTAAAAGGCTAATTTATCGTACTTTAGATTTATTTATTTAAACCAGTTAATTTACGATCCTCCATGATGATAGCGTGCAACGGAATTGCTTCAATTTATTGTTATTTCTTGTCATTGTACTCTGTCAACATCGTATTTTTATGCCATAATAATAACATTTTTTAGCTTTTGTTTTAGGTAGTTAGTCAGTTTATTTATACGATCGTGTGTTTATTCAATAATGATGCTCGTCGTGAATAACTGGTATTTCGCATTCACCCTGTTCTATTCCCTCTGAAATCTGTTTTCATAAACCAACCTAATGTTATTATGACAAGGTTGTAAATTATATGCAAATACCTTTTTATTGACGAACTTGTGTGGTCTCTCCTGGTTGTCTGGGAACAAGTTCTTTAGCCGTTCCTCTCTCTCTGATGTGATTCCGTGGTGAGACGTGATCGTTAAAAGATCTACACGCCGCCCTGTAACAATAAAAAACAGACTTTAAGTAAACATAATAAGAGTTTGAAATTATGTGGCAAATAAATGATTTTATCCATTTGACATGATTAGTAGGAGCATAGGAATAGTTCTTTGATAATTTGTTAGCTTCGGTATGAATGGGTCGGTTCGACCGGCAGTGAACCCTCTACCTTACAGAAAAACCGGCTTGTAACAACGATTGCGTTGTTTCCCGTGTGGTGAGGTTAAAGGAAGCTCAATACTTTCCCCATACCAAATCTCTAACCCTTAAATCCTTTCGTTATTGCGGGTATTCATGTGTGGCGCCAATTGGTTATCATCAGGAGATCCGACTGCTCGTAAAAAGGGTTTAGTGAAAAAACGACTTTACCTTCTAAAGAATAAATGAGACATTCCCTAACGTAGTAGATGTCGTCTTGTGACTGCGGCGGTGGCAGTGGCAGCATCTTCAGGTCGATGGAGTTGAGCGCTATCTGCAGCTCAGCGAACGAGAACGGGTACGTGAACGCGAAGAATGTGGTCGCCTTCAGGTTCTCTGATGTTCTGTACTTGAAGCTCAGGGTGAATGTATTGTCGTCCGTCTAAAATAAACCACTTGACTAAATATAATGTTTTAAAAAAATAAAAAGAAATAGAAGCGATATAAATGGGTTGCTATGTCAGAAATTAACAGATTTTAAATTTTATTTTAAAAGTATAAGGTTGAAATTGGGTTAAGCAATTCATGATTTAGCAACTGATTTTAGTCAGTTTTTTTTTTATAATCCTACCATTTTTTTTAAGCGGGAAATATCATCGAATGACTGCTCCCGCCTGGGTGAGGCGAGAGGGAGTGTCAGACTTTTACTAACCAAAAACCACCCCGTTCCTTCTCCTGCGCTTCGAGCAGTAGCCCTGGTAACCCGTTAGACCATAGGAGGTAGTACTATGTACTCCTACATACATGGCACATGTTCTTAGGCTCACAACGAAATAGGATGTATTAGGACAAAAATATGCATTATGCACTGAAAATCTGATTTGAAAATCAGTTTTGTCTATAATTGAGTGTAAAAAGAAGCTTAGATATAATAAATAATAAAAAAACAATACAATAAATTATACTACTTTACAATTACATTTTACAAAAGAGAGTGTGAAACTGCTCACCGAGTGTACAGGACGGTCCCTGATCCTCTCCCACTGAGGCTTGCCTGGCAGTGTGCGTGTCACCGGTGCCATGCCCTGGTTATACATCTTGCCTTGCTTGTTCAGGTTTATAAGATTTAACCGCACCTGTTTACATAATTTCCAACTCAATAAAGTCAAAATAATTAATTTCACTTAGACCAGAAAGGCACTTTTGAACATCAACAAAAAATTTAAAGTGAAGGTATTCGCTCATTCCAAAGTGAAGATTCCTATGGAGAAAAACAAGCAAGAAACTCCATAGGTTACTCTTTTTCAATCAGGTTCATAATACAATTATTCTTTAGCTTTACATAGTTTTTAGTTTAGTTATATAGTTTTAGAACAATGTAACACCAAAATGCAGTCAAAGAGATCGAAAAAGAAATAACCGGATAATAACAATTTGATGAAAATAGGATTTTTTTTGAAAGGCTTTAATTATGAAAAGTTAAGTAAAACCTTTATTAAACTGTCAAACACCGAGCGGTCTCCGGTGACCGCAACCTATTGTTCTTTAATTGTCTATAATGACGGTACTCAACAAGTTAAAAACGAGTTTCTCTTCACTAAATAATACTAAATTCTTTATTGCTTTCCACATGTATGACTTAGGTGGTAAACACGTTTAGTTAAAAATGAATAGAGCAATATTTTATCATAAATTTTCTTATAAGAATTTAAAATGGTCTGTAGTAATATACTAATAAGACTTTTTATACAACATCCAGATTAATACACTAAGATTTAAGTTTAATACAATAAGATTAATTGAAATATGAATTACCAGTACTCCAGCTTCACTGGCTTGCACACCAAAGTAGAACCAGGTGCGATTTCCATTCTCAAACTCAGTGCCCGCACAGTCGGGCCGAGTCCACATATTGAATTCATAATCAGGTGTTTCTGATAAATTTGTTTTTGGGTTCACAGATGGAGCTGTGAAATAACACTCCACATTAATATTCTAACAAAAACTATTGTTGACTATTTGTGTAATGTAGGGTATTTTTGTTAAATATCTAAACAGGAAAAAATAAATACTTGGCATAACTACATAATTTCATAAGTACATTACATATAGTAGTTGTTGAAAATAAGAGAAAGGTTTGGATTTTTCATAATTTTATTTTTTTTACAGATTTTCTGTTGACAAGATTGTAATGATTAGTAGTAGTCATATTCCAATATAATTATAAACCTTCTTGTTTATTATGGAACAGTAAAAAAACATGTTTACTGGAATATTCCAGCTGATTAAATTAACTTTCTTTGCTGTGCTGTCACCACAGCACCTTATCTGTGTCAAGTAAATATTGAATAACTTGGTGCATCTGGGCACGCATAAATGTTTCAAATGTCCTCAAATCTATTTCGAGCACACGACAATAACAAAAAGTCCATGAAAAGGGCATTAAATTGGCAACAACTACCGAAATTATTATATGCCTTTGCGACACTGTGATTTTACGTCAATTTACAAATATCCACTTACCTATTAGCTCCGTAGGCACCCTTTCTACATGACCGAGATTTCCAGAGTCAAAATTATGAATAAAATAAAATCCACCGCACTCTATAATATTGTTTTGATCCATAACTAAAATATAACAGCGGACTACATTATACAAAAATCACAGTCGCCAATGTTGTGAGCCGCTGGGTACACATTTACTTTAACAATTTGTCCATTGAAACATAGATCGAATATTCATGTTTTTGATAATTTCAAAATGACACTAAAAAACGGAGGCTGCACTGTTTTTCTAAACAAAATTATGTAATTTTGTTGACATCGATTGACGGATAACAGCTGATTTGTTTTATTAGTGATCTTTTTAAATTTTTAAAGTATTTAGAACCAGTTGGAGTAGTCTATTTTGAGTTAATAAATATGGGTTTTTTTATGGCAGGTTTTAATTATTTTCTCGAGTGCTAAAATTGCTATCACTTGATATTTGGAAAGACACATGCCACTATGAGATTTGATTCAAGATGGCCGACATTTACTCGCTGGCGCTGCTCGACTTGCGTACAAGGACAATACAAAATGCCAGGGTAAAAAAAGATTCTTATAAGAAAATATTTTCAAAAAATATTTTAACCACATTCATTCAAGGTATGGGTAAGATAAATAAATGAATTGGCTTTTTTTTGTTCTTTATACATGAAGCTTATCATTATCTTATCATGTTCCAGTTCTAGATCACTGAAGTGAATCTGTCTACCTACCTTTTAAATGTATGCGAGCTTTTTCTGATTGCTTGATTCTTAGAAGAATTTTTGAAGGCTAAATTATTATTTCTACCTATGTTAAGCTAGAGAAATGGCATTATTCATGTAAATAATGAATTGTAAAAATTATCGAATGGCAATACAAGAAAGCTGGGCGTTTCCGTCCGGTCTGGATATTTAGGTCATACTATTACGCACCGAACAAGCATTTTTATGTTATAAGCAGATTCGTAGGCTTACAATTTTTGCCTTCACGGCCTTTATGGTTGACGCAGTGGCTGTAAAGCTGGCTGTGTGCATTGTCTGGGGTTCGATACCCGTACTGTACAATTCTTTTAGTGATTTTTTAGGCACAATATGTTGTTCCGGGTTTGGTGTATGAATGTGCACTGGTGCACGAATCCAATTACTTACTACAAGAGAAGTAATATTGTTCTTCGTCGTACCTTTCGCGGAGAACCTAACGGGTAACCGGGGCTCCGGCTCGACGTGCAGGAGAAGGAACGGGGTGGTTTTTAGTCAGTAAGAGTCTGACACTCCCTCCCGCCTCACTCAGGCGGGAGCAGGCATTCGATGATTTCTCCCCTTAAAAAAAAAAGGGAGGTACGTGTCGGATGTTTCAAATTTCAATAGGTAAATTACATACCTATAGTTCCTTTATCTCTCGAGCGCGGGTGAGCCATAGTAGTAGTTGTATTGCGCATAGACACGCGCGCTCATGTGTGCGTAACTCGCAGCAAGCTCATTCATTGGCTGCCAGCCGAAACTGGGCGTTCCCGAGCGTACGCAAACAAAGATAATGTGCGTGTATATTTACCCACACAAGTATGGCGCACCCGCGCTTGTGAGATAAATATAACATTTGTACTTAACTAATCTCTACCCGCCACTTCATCCGCGTAGAATAACGAAAATGAAGGTAGAATTAGGGAGCGTTCAAGTATTACGTAACGCAATTTTTGAAGATTTTTGACCCCCCCTCCCCCCACTGTAACGCTCCGTAACGTTTTTCTGTACCCCCCCACCCCCTCTCTTAAGGTTACGTAACACTCAAGTCATCATTTTTACCCTGAAGTCGCAAAAAGTTGTTATAGTTTTTATCCTTCGTATGGTTTTAATTGCCTTATAATAAAACAAGAGATTTTTAATTCGCAACACCTGCGTATTTTGTTTATTTTTTTATAAATTTTTGGCTTTACAAAACACAATTGTTTTTCTCCTTCATTCTCCTAAGTATTTTAGCTTTTTTACTAATAAATTCTTCAAATAAAATAACATATTTATTTTAACCTTTGGCAATGCAATTATAAACAGAAACCCAACTGAAATTAAACATTTTACTCGAAATAAAATCGTATTCTTAACAAAATAAAAAATAATCAACTATTAACCAAGTATCTAAGTAGGTCTATAAAAACAATTCGATTGAAATTACTGCTCCTCTGTCCACGGGTTTGCTAGCCACTCAGATTCTTTCATCACTGGCACCTGGAGTGCAGACGAAGACGGTTCTGGAATTGTTAAGCCACTTGCATCAACTTCGTCTTCGTCGAGCCAGTCAGCATCCTCAGACGATGTTTCATAACGACGCACAATGCAGAGAAGCTCATTTGCCCTTCTGGCAGCAAGGCGCTGTGGCCGTACTCTAGTTTCACAATGGTCTTGGACAGTCTTGCCATGCACGTAACGACAGTGCATTTGAACACTCCTGTGAGATGTGAAATAGATCCCACAGGTTGGACATACTTTTTTCTTTAGGTCGGATTGTACAGATGGACAAAAGAAATCGTAAGGCATCTGCTTAAACCCTTCTAGAGGAGGTGACAGATTAACGGACAACCTTACAAGAAGTGGCGAAAACTTGGATTTTCCTTTGTCTAACAAACTGGGTACTACGAGCTTGCTTGGGGTTTGAAGTATTGGGCAAGGTGGCGGCATGAAAGTATCCGTAAACACAGATTTCAATGCACTTCTCGGACACTTCTAACGAATACTGACAACAAAAACAACATTAAATGACGTACAATACAATCTAGGGATTCCCCGTGAAATATAAACGAAAAGGTTTACCAACATGCGAGAACAAATTAAAAATGGCGACCAGACTAATACAATCGAGAGATTCCCCGTAAAATGTAAATGAAAAGGGTTGCCAATTTGGGAGTTTTATTTCCCTATTTTTTATATAAAAAAAGAAATAATGTTACGTAACGTGTTGTAAGAAGGACCCCCTCCCGCCCGTGTAACGCATCGTAACGTTTTACAAGACCCCCCCGCCCCCCCAAATTGCGTTACGTAATACTTGAACGCTCCCTTATTTAGTTTTGTCTCCTTTAGTAAAATCTACGTGGGAGTAGATTAGGATTAGCACATATTACAGACAACGGGCGTGAATAAACGCCTTTGTCTTGTAATTGACGAGTCAGAGGCCCAATTCACAAATCGCTGACACCCAAACGCTGGCAACGCACTTAACTCCTCTGGTGTTGCCCATGCCGATGCGCCACTCCATGGTTGGGGCTAATTGCTTAGGTACTATTAGGTAAACTGTCTGCTCATTTCCCGTCCTATCCCTTAGGTACTTACTTATGTCGCGGAGAACCTAACGGGTAACCGGAGCTCCGTCTCGACGTGCAGGAGAAGGAACGGGGTGGTTTTTAGTCAGTAAGAGTCTGGCACTCACTCCCTCCCGCCTCACCCAGGCGGGAGCAGTAATTCGATGATTTTACCCCCTTAAAAAAATCCCTTACTTATGATATCTACCTACATATTATTATTATAGGTATTTCTTAACTGTAGGTAGAATAAAATTGACATGTTTTAGTATACATATATTGCAACAATTGTAAAATATTCTGCCTCGTTGGCACAGCGGTCGCAAGTGCGACTGCCGGGCAAAGGGTCTTGGGTTCAATTCCGGGTCGGGCAAAGTATTACTGGGTTTTAAAAAATCTCAGTTGTAGCACGGAGTCTGGAATTGTGCCCGGTATATGGCAATAGGCTCACCCCTATTACATGGGACTCATAACATAAATAGTGAAAAGTGGGTGTTACATTGTAGGTATAGTGGCATAATGTGCACCCCTGCCTACCTCTTCCGGGATAAAAGGCGTGATGTTATGTAAAATATTCAAAGTTATTCCTCTAAACAAATTATACTGGCGTTAGAAAAATTGGCCCCAAGTGGGGTAGCCGACCTTACGCTACCCTACTAGGGCCAATTAAAAAACTTAGTTTGTAGGGAGTAAGTATTAGGGAATTAGGTAGGAAAGCAGTATCTAAAATAAAAAAGACAATACAGTTTCTCATTTTTAACTCAAATTTGTATTTTCATTTCATCCTTACATTTATAACAATATTAAATAAGCTTATTTTAAGTATACAATACAATATTATAATAGATTATTTAGGCGTGGCACTTACCTATAGATTATAAAAAAATTACACTCCATATAATTTCGAATAACTTGGCCAATAAATGCCTCCATCACAAAACTTAGGTATAACTTGATACAGTACCTACGTATCAATAATGTCTAAATTATAACGTGGACTACGTTTACCTACGAACATCCTTGTTTACTATACAATTGTCTTTTCTGAGCATGATTGATTAATTTATTGTGAAAACAAATGATCATACGAGACACATGGACGCGACGAACTTCATTTTGGCATCTTTCGTTTGGCTCATACACCAAAATAATGATTTATGATTCAATAATAGTGTTAGGTATATACAAAATGATGTTTAATTATCACGATGAATAACCGTAGAAGTACCTACCTAACTTCAAAAAAACTTTCTATATAAATTAGACTCCAATTTTCTACGGCCGCAGCGCGGTTACTTGTTCATAAAATTAAATGTCAAGAGAATGATAAAAAGTAAAAATTATAATAAAAAACAATATATCACAATCGGAACTATAATCTAGGGCACGTGTTTTGTATGTACTCTTACATATAGGTACCTACACTAGCATTACGTGTAAATGAATGTAATGGACAATTTCCTACAAATATTATTTTAATATAATATAAGGAACGGTAATCCTACTGAGCCAATACATTTCCTCTACCGCGTACATTTATATGAGTAACCCCCGAATAATGAAAGGCTACTCAATTTTAAATAGTAGATACTTAAATATCGTGCCATCTCTGTCATTTTCCAAAGAAATTGTAGTGACAGAACTATACCTACTTAAACCGTGGCATGCCGAGGGTAGTTCTACGCATGACACAATGTGTTTTCTATTGTCTTAAATAGATACGGCCGGCATACAAGAGGTTAACCACGACTTAAAATTGAGTGGTGTTTCAGTTTTCGGGTCTAAGTTAGGTATATTAATTACACCAACAAAATATAAGATAGAACGATACGACTAGAATGCCGACATAATGAGCATTAGGATAAACATTAGATCGCCTTATTTACGTGACACTAGTCTTGTAAACTCGAGTCAGGTATCACATTTTTCCACGTCTTTGTGAAAACAGTACCTGCTAATGAAGGTATAAGGTATATTATCTCATGCAGTTGATAAAGCACGTATCCGATACTCATTGGAGCATTTGACGAACACAATGAATGATACAAGATACAATACAGTAACAAGACGAGCCATTGTTGTTACTTTAGCTGCTTCGGTACTGTGTTGGCTTTTAGTATCCCATGAATAAGGCTATTTTAACCTAACATGCATAACTAATGTAAAATCTGTAAAACGAACGAAATGCTCTGCTCAGTTCAGTTCGAAATAAATGGAAGCAAAATAATAAAATCAACGCTTTCACCATTTATAACATTTGACATAGACATTCTCTATCCAATCTCTCATTACAAATATATTTGGCGCAATATATTGCTAACAAACAGTGGGTTTTAATAACTAATAGTAAAACTAACTAGGGTAAAACATTTACTTTGTAGTCTTATATTTCGACTGAAATTTTTGATAACATGGTATGGTCCTCTTCAATGCCCAGAATTGGCCACCTCGCCTTAAATGTGTTTTACAACCAGATTTCAAATGAATTGTGTTCTATTGAAAACTTGAACAAACGTAAATGCAGCGAGGATCGGTATATGTGTGTACTTCAGTGATCAGTTTTTGAAATGTCCAATCAAATGAGCAGTAGCGGAAGACAAATCGTGATCGTTTGAGCAGACGAAAGTTAAGAAACCATAATATTGTGATCCTTAAAATAAAACAAATTATGTACATCGATTTTATAATGTTTAGCGGCCACACTAGGCGTATCGTGGCGGTCCGTAGCTCACTACTAAACAACTGTGAGCAATAAAACTAGCATTACACATATACGCCCAATTTGGTCGTCGTCGACCTTACACCATACATTTCGGGTAGCGTTCCAACTCACTGAACAATATTAATTAAAAAATTGTCTAATCTAACACGTGTCGTTAACCTTTCCCCTCATCGGGTATCGTTATGGAAACTGTGTTGGGTCTCATTTGTTTACTGTCCGCGCTATGTACACTGGTATTGTGTGGGGCACTGCGGTGTATTTCCTCAGTGGTAGTCAATTTGCACTCAACGACACGATAATTGCACGTCGGCGAGCCGCAGTCGAAGTCCGGTCGTATTATCACTGCGTTCGGTATGTCTTCCAGACACTTGGGCTCCTCTTTGAATGGTGGACAACTGTGAAAAGAAAGTTAATGTTTAAATTCATTTTGGTTCAGTTAATAATTTAATATCCACTTATTCACCTTAGATATTTATGTGCTCACCAAGCCAAAACAATGTAATTTCACTTTGTAAAGAAGGTTAAAAACAGAGATTTCTTTACCTCAATGGTGGCGGTGTCGGCGAGCGCGATAGCGGAAAACTAGCAACCTCCCTCGATATAGCGAGGGATTTGATGGAGCCGAAGGTTTGTTCCGGACTGAGAGGAGCTCCCAGTACTGAAGCCATACCTCTGTAAGGAGATATAAATAGTTAGGAAACAGCCAAATTGACACACGACGATAAAATAGTGAGAAAAGAGATGATAAAGTCTCTTGAGGTTCTTGAAGAACACTAAAAAGATAAAAATATACTTACACGACAGAGTCCGAGGGTACCAAGAAAGGTAAAGGAGGGGGGCACGGAGCATCAGCCCGTGCTGGTGAGGCTGGCTCCGCGGAGCGCGGGCAACGCGCCGCCTCGCCCTCCTCCACCAGCCCCAGCCAGCTGCGCATCCAGCGCCACATACCCGCTGGAGTGCCTGCAACATTCACCATTATGTCTAAGAACAAGAACACTTTAAAAATGTCCTATATATATTGTTGTATCTGCATCATTAAAAAATTCTCGGTTTTGAAAAGTAGATACCTATTTATTGATTTAAGTTTTGCTATTTTTTCACCGAGTCTAAAACTGTAAATAGGTTAGTTTTCATCCTTTAGACTTAATCGGCAATCGAATGTGGTATGCGCAGCTGTGCATCTGCTTACCCTAAAAGAATAAAAGTGTGATGAAGAAGTCTGCCATGCTCCCGACAAGCTACGTTTAAGTTTCAACATTTAGAATGTCTTAGCTCACACCTACCTTAGCAATCTAAAAACCAAATTAGTTACATAGTTTTCATAGTATTATTATGTAAAAATAACTTTACATCGCAAATTAAAAGTACTTAGTTATCTAAATACCTTTGAAGCTACTCACTGAAAGCATTCTAGATATACTTAGCTATCTATTTTCGAGCACAAATCGATAAATATTTCGGGAGTAGCTACAAAGTCTATAATGCTGTCTGCTAATACTTTATTGAAGACGTAAACAAACAGTTCAATATGTTATCGTATATTCAGCAAATTGCTTATACTTACGAGAATATTTTCTGCTATTTTGTGGGCTCAGTGGGTAGAAGTCTCCATGAATGGGACAGTGGAATGCCAGCCTACGCTGCCGGCGCTGAGCAGCTCGCATTAACATGCACAACACGATACCTGGAACAGACAATACAATCATTTATTTAGCGATTGTACCTATAATGAATAGCCGACGTAGGAAGTTCAAATGGGGTATTCAATGTTCATAGGACTTCATATATGGTAGACATTGATTCAAATGTCTTCGTATCACGTTTTTATTCTGGGTATGGAAGTATCGGTACATTTCATGGAGGATTGGTAAACTAATATAACTTGTTAAAATTAATGTTCTGCACGTAAAAAAAGGAAAATCAAATTAACAAATCCTAGAAGCCGGAATGTCGAACGCCTTTTACACTTGCTGCAAATTAAACTATTAAAGATAACAACTATTTAGCGCTCAATTTCAAAGCGAGATCTGGATAAATTATGAACCTAATACTGTTAATATAATACGTTAATCATCGTCTAAAACCCCTTGTATCCAAACGGGGCTTAGGACCGATCGATATCTGACGTGTGACCCTTTAGGTTCGTCGTGACCTCGTCTTTGAGAGAGAATCTCAACGAGAATGACCCTTGACAAGATAAAGCGAATCTGTGATAAAACTACCGCTACTAACATTTAGGCTTCCGTTTATGGTACAATAAACTCAATTAACAAAGCTGTAGAGAAGAATGTTGAATGTAATTAAAATATCCTAAAATCTACTTCTCATATCTATGTCATAGAGTAAAAAAAAAAAATTATTTCGTTACATTAATTTGAATCCGATCTGAATTATTTAAGCATCTTTAAATGCAAAAAAACTCAATAGCTTCGTAAACATATTTTTAGCTCCCAAAACCTCACGAAATGTATCGATGTCATGTCAACAGGGGCATTTGCAGTGATTATTCAGTCTGCCCGTCTCGTTCCAAATGACGTGCAATAATGACGTCAACGACGCCGACGTATAATCAAGACAAGTCTATTCATAAGTGCTACGTATAATCAGTAGTTTCCGTCAATTAGGCAATTAGCTCGTACTTGCCATAGGAACCCTAGTGGCGAAGTACTTAATCTTGTTAAACAAAACGAGAATAGTTACTCAATTTGACCGTACCTATAAAATAATAAAATTATGCTTCTTTTTTTATCTTTAATCGCAAATAATTTTCCCTGTTTGGTGACTTAGGGACTAAGGTGACTTAGGGACGTAGGTACCTACTCAATGACTTCATTACTTAACCGTCATTACAGTCCATGAAGAATGAATATAATAGAGAAGAGTATTTCGAAATACTCAGGCTAGAGTTAGAAACTCGATTTACCGCTAACAGTTACTATCTAACAGCTTTTACTTTAATATCTGCACATGAAATGAACTAAGACCTAAGTTCTAAGAAGTCGTTAATTAACAAGGCAACACGATTGATGGACTTTTAACGATGTCTAACTCTCACGCGAGTCACCGAGTCGGGCTAATCAAAGTTACCTTACCTAGGTTGATTTAATGTTAGTAAGGCGAGGCGAGTCGCACATAAAAATAATAACTGTCACTAGAAAAGTAGAAATAAAAGTAGGGAGACACTTTACCTGTCTGGATTGTGAAATAAGTGGATTCATGATACATTAGGGACTTTTTTTTTCGACACATCGAATTATTTCTCCCGCCTGGGTGAGCTTCTGCACTTCGAGCCGGAGCCCCGGTAACCCGGTAGGTTCTCCGCGGCTCCGAATACATTAGGGACTGCGATCGTCACTTTCTTCTAATAAATCATTAGTTTTATGTAAGGACACAAATGTTCTAATAAGAATCTATAAAATCTAATATCTAATAAGAATTCGAATAAGAGCTTTCAAAACGATGAACATAATACTTCAAGTATTGGACTCAGAACTTTGTGATAAGCGTCGTCAACGTGAGATGGTTCGTAAGCATTGTTGCTACCGCAAATAATGTTAAATAATTACATACCAGCAATGGTCATAAGAGCTCCGGCGACGATGCAGACAGGGCCCAGCACCCGCGAATTGCCGGTGAACGCGATGCGGGCCGCATAGTGGTCCGGCTCCTCATTCTCACCGCAACCTCGATACGAAGCCGCTGTAATATAACACCATTAAGTTAATTTTTTGCCATATATTACACACATTACAATAATAGCCTGAAACAGTACATCGGCTTCTCAATGTCGTGAGGAAATAGGGAGAATTTGACAGTAGGTACAGTACCTAACCGTGGCCATCTTTACTGATTGATTTATTGTGGAGCCACTTTTGTATGACAGCGAATAGGGGCATGGAACTCGGACGCTCAATGGACAACAATTTTCAGTTTAAATACGTTTTCTTGTTCGTTAGATACAGTTTGATAGAATCAAGTGACCGTGGGTGATGCTCAGTAGGTAGTTCCCAATTTCGTTATAAATCAAATAAAAACGATTCTATTTTGACTTTGTTCGACCACGGCTTCTAAAGAAACGGAAGTAGGAAAATTTATATTGAAGCTTTTTGTTTTCATCTGTTTTTCGTCTAGGGAACAATACGGGGCATTTTCTTCGTATTATCTACATAATCTACAGGAATTTATTGGTAAACTAGCTGCTGTATTTTATTACATGAGGTAAAAACTAATATACATCGAAGTATATTAAACAGCTACTTCATAAAATTACACCAAACTGTAAACAAAGAGCTTCCTGAAAATTATGACGGAGAATCGTTTACTTTCACCATTTTAGCCGTGACTTAAGCTTTCATACCGAAATAAGGATCTTACCTGTTAGTACACATCCGACGAGCATGAACAGAAATCCGAATATAGGCAGTACTATCTGACAGTTGGCTGCGACCACAACGCCGGCAACCGCTAACCCGCCCTCCACCTTCTCCACACGGAGGCGAGATATGGCAGGCGGACATCTTGGCTTGCCTACTGGGGCCCGCACCAAGGGCTCGCCGGGAGGTGATGTGGTCCTGTTAACAAAGAAAAATAGAACATTAGTTTTAATTCTAATTTCAAAAAGAGTGCTGCTAGCCCGTCTATTGATTCTAATGATTTGTGGCACTATAAAACAAATGAATGCCAATGTAGCCAAATGCTAAACGATCGGGTCTATGAAATACGCAACTCATACAATGTGCAAATAACAAAATAAATTCAATTATTCCTCTGTTTTTACAGCATAATTCGGAACTCAAATAAGCATAATTAATTGCAAATATAATTATTTTATCCCAGTTCCTAGTTATTTACAGTTCCACGAGTCTACTCAAACAGTTGAGGCGACAGTATAATATTTCACCGCTAGAACTAATTATTATTTAACAAAAGCAAATATTTAGTTGGCGCGTTGAGAAGTATCTAATATAATCTTGGCTCAACCTTGAAGGTTCAGCGTAGAGCAGGGTCCATGCTGTTTCTGTTACAGTCTCGTGATAATTACCACTTTCATTACACTCAGGTATTTCAAACAGTGCAACTGTCTGAATAAAACGTCTTTCTTTAAATTCTTGGGAAGTACATTGCATAGCACGTTAGAATTTTTAATCTTCCTCTTAATTATTTTATAATGTACCTATATATTTTTAATTTAGAGGGTAAATAAAGAAAACCGGTTCAATCCCTCATCGCTGTAAGTTAATAAACAGGAAAATAATCACAAAATGAACAGATTGCGGTTAGCGGGCAGATAATAATTTATCCTAAATTCGTTGATTACCTAATGAAAACGTTTTCCCTATGATTACACAGTTCAATGTTATTTTAATTACGTCAAACAAACGTTTAAAACAAAAAGAACGATTGCAAACTAACGGAGTATTTAAAAAAACGACATAAAACAGTAAACCGCCAATCTATCAACGTTTGCTTTTTATGAGGCTGAGGCATCGTAAAACCATGGCCAGATGCAATGAAGACGTAAATAAAAAAAAAACTTGGAACAATCATTTAAAAAGTTGTAACAGCTGAACGCTAACACCGAAAGCGCTAATGAGCAACAAATATGGCATATGTTATTTACGTAAATTGTGGGCTATGTAGCCTATGTAAAGTATATAATAATTATACCGATTTACCAATAGGTACATAGACCTTTTTCCTAAGAACTTACTGTTAGCCTGGCTGGGGAAAAATCCCGGGAAAAAGTATCCTTCACGTTAATCTAGGTCAGGGTTTAATTGTAGGCCTAATTTCAGTTGAGTTCGTTACGTAAACGTAATAATGCGTGAAAATGTAATTATCATCCGTTATGTATTCAAACTGTGAAACATAATGCTGAATTATTAAGAAGGGTTTTACTAATTGCTATTGGAGATTAATATGTAGAAGAAGAACATAATTAATTGAAAGTAATAATAGCTTCTACGTAACATCAAAATATTAGTTTCTAGTTGCAAAACCACGCCCATAATCCAAGGAATGGTCTTAGAGTTCACTTTGAGAAATGAGAATAGTTTGGGGTTAACCTCGGTATCCATAACGTTCAGTTTTAAGGTTATAAAGCAAACATTAAACCGTTCCATTTTCTCAAAATAAAAGCCGGAATTGGACTCTATCTGGACCGTCATAAGATTTATTATGATATTAAAAATTCTATTGAAATCACCTAAGAAGTGTTTATATTTTGTATGAATGATTACCAAGATTGTGTACCGGAAAATCAAAGTAATTTTAGGTTGATCCGTATTTAAATATTTACAAATTTTCCTTGGATATCGGTACCAATACCAAACAACCCGCCCACCCGCAGGGTCTAAAATTAGTGATGTTACGAAAATATTTCAACCGAAGAAAACAATTGGCGTCATAAACACGTACTTATGTTCATTGATAAATATAATGGAATGGAGTTCCTCTTTATGATAATACGATGTTTTACACTCATAAATCTTTTAAAGTTTTGTAATTGATGACTGATGACGTTTAAGAACAACAACTAACAAAACGACGCAGAACGAAATACCGAAATTATTTCTAATATTTTCATTCAACTTTTTCAGCATCTTTGGAAAAGATATATTTCTTTCCTGCCAGGTAGATATCCATCTGATTAATAGGCACAATCTTCAGAAACAGAATTCCTACATAAATTATTATTCTGTGTCTTACTATCTAGACTCAGACACAACACAGTCTGTAGGTTGTAATTCGGCTTAAGAATAAAAATGTTCTGTTAATTCTGGACACACACGTGTCACAAAACGTGTTCGTGTTCTATTAACGAAGAGTTTTGGCACTAAACCCATGTCGCATTATACCAGCCAATGACCATTATAACCGTGTGTCACTGTTTAAAGTTTAACAACACTTTATTAGCTCTCCATTTAATAATTCAAAACATCAACTGTATCTGTGGAAAGTTTCATTCAAATACGTTTAGCATTTTCTGCGTTGGTAACAATCATATAACCTTTCTATGTCGAACTGTTTGTATCGAACTTTATTTACTGGAGTTATTTTATGACGTCTTGTCTACTCGATAATATAATTTAGTTCATGCACGTTTATGTGTATTTGTGATCGTCATAAAACTTGGTTTATTGATATGGCACGTGAATACGTTAGTTGATCATTTAGGGGGAATTAGCATTGTCATCTGACGCCTATATGCGGTAGTGTTTCACGGTGTCACTGCATTGAAACTTTACACAAGGTGGAAAGGACAGTCCGATGGACAGACAAAACCAACTCAGATTTAATTGGTCAATGCATAAATGTATAGGTATTATTTCTGTACTCATTAACATCAGTTAATTAAGTAAGTAGATAAAAAGACTCGGTTCTGAAATACGTTTTTAATTTCAGCATTGATTATAAAGGACAGGGTTTGTTTATGCACGAAACATTTAGGCAACTAGATGGTCATGGATTATCTTTATCATTGTACCAAAATTAATACGTAGGTATCACAAGTCCATTAGTTGTTTATAATATTTTATTTAACAGATCACATTCCTTTCCCATAGTTACTTATCCATTATTAATAAATATTAATTCACACTTTCTAAATGGTAAAGCTACCTGATAAACAAACAGATGCCTTTAACAGTTTTGCATACAATATACAGATTTATTATTGGTACCATTGACGTTATATATTTGCATAGTTTCTAGATTCTTTAGGATTTTATACAACAATCGGGTTAAAAATAACAAACACTTTTTGGTTACTAAGCACACTACAATGTCTAAAAATATTTAAACGTCAATTCCATTAATGATGGACGATGGAAACCAAATGGCAATACTTATCAACAACCGAATCTACAACTAAATTAACCAATCGGAGAACGATAATAAATACTGTATTTACGACAGCACGAGAGTGGCCAGAATAAAAAAAAATGTAAGTACGTCAGGGTACGTTGACAGGACACACAGATGTACCTAATTAATTGTTCTCTTTGTAGTAACATTCTTTGTCGTCTGTCGCAACATTTGGTCCGTCCTCGGAACATATAAGCCGTCGGTCCATATTAATTTGGAGAACAATACTCATTTAGGACGTAGGGATATTAAATAATGTTACACCCGTACGTACCCGGTCGTACGTCATATCCTTTCAAACAGTTTAAAATTCAAAACATATTCCTAGATAAATAATACGTTCTGAATAATGTGTCTGGTCCTCTGTGGTCGACTGTAGTCTGTAACTAGTTATTTTTGCGTATTCTTTGACGCAGGTTTCTTGACAAATCCATTCCGTCCAACCTCTTGACTTTCCTCCCTAAGACGTAAAGCTGTCCTAATATCTTGTAGCACGTCTCCAACCTAAATATACACACACAATAAATTGTGATTTACTGTCGACCCGGCCAAAGGATTTGGGGAACAAATGGGGATGTTATTCTCCTTTTTTGTTGGAATTAAGGGCAGTTTGGTTTTGTTATTTGTGTCTGTTCTGAACTTCTGACCCCTGACATGAACTTAGATCTCCTTTTTTTCTTGATGAAAGTTTTCGTCGTCTGTTTAAATATAGGTAGTTTTCTATTTTCCACTAAGTTACAACGAAATAACGATTCAGTGTAAATAATTAATAAAGTACTTACGTAGGTATGAACGTAAGTGGTTACTTATGTGGTCAAAGTAATAGCTGCTATTTAATGTGGATATTTGAACACCATGTCGTTCTGTTGACTTGAATACTAAAATTGGTTTTATCGAGTGTACTAATATTTGTCTTGCGGCTTTTAGTAGTAGGTACTTATTTCTATGGTAAACCTTAAATGTTTCGCTTTATTAGAGAGATGTATAAATTTCGTTAAAAAGCCGTGATTCCAGAATTCTCCAATCCTTTTATAACAAATCAATTGGCGGCCATGTTGGTAACATGACAACAGAATAATGGCGGGAACTTAACGGTGGTTCCGGTTCGGCTGCGTCAATTAACCGTGGTTTCCGATCCACTGGCCGTGGACAAAGTTATTGTTTTCTATTATGACGGATTTTGTACATGTTACACGAAGCAATTCGGTGCACCAAATGAATTTAAAAACGTGTATGGAAAAAAAGCGTTAATAACTTAAAATAGACGACGCAAATGTTAAGTTTGGAAAAAATAACATATAAATCGATAGTTTGAGTAGCAATTCCTTGATTACTTCGATTTAGATTAAATACTGATAATTATAATTGTATCAACTGTCTACTGGCTCGTATGGTTACACGCGACGTTTTATTTCTGTTGGTTTATTCTGGTAGACGCTGGGGGCAATTTGCCGTCATTAGGTAGAGCGGTCTGTTCAAAAATAGTCACCGTCCCCCACACAATCAAGGAATGGAGGACGTGACGAGCGACCGTATCCTGTAGGTATACGACCAATGAACACCAGCAAAGAAGTATTGCTTCATAAAAAACTTATTGACATTTCCGGCTGCTCTCGTCTGATTGCCTGCTCCGACCTTCAAAGACAGAGAGATGACTTACGTTTACTTAGTTGTTAAATCTCCATATTATGTACTTTGTTAATGA